TTTTGACAATCTGACAAAAATAGGTATACTTTTGCCTCATTCACACAGGATGGCTGTTGTTAGGTTAGCTGTTGTTATTTTTTAAGACTGTATTTATTTATTTTTAGAGAGAGGAAGGAATGGAGAGAGGGAAAGAAACACCAGTGTGTGGTTGCCTCTCACACACCCACTACTGGGGACCTGGCCCACAACCCAGGCACGTGCCCTAGACTGGGAATCAAACAGGCGACCCTTTGATTCGCAGGCTAACACTCAACCATTGAGCCTCACCAGCCAGGGCTATTTTTTTAAGCAGTCTTTTTTAGAAGATTTTATTTATTTATTTTTAGAGAGAGGGGAAGGGAGAGAGAAAGAGAGGGAGAGAAACATCAATGTATGGTTGCCTGTCATGTGGCCCCTGCTGGGAACCTGGTCCACAACCTAGGCATGTGCCGTAACCGGGAATCAAACAAACAACTCTTTGACTCAGAGCCTGCGCTCAATTCACTGAGCTACGCCAGCCAGGGCTTTTTTTATTATTATTATTTGACAATCTAAGGGTAAAGAGGTCAGTGCCACTGACTAAATAGTCCGGTACTGCATGTTTTAAAAATTCTCATGGCACACAAGCTGACAATCAATGAAGTAGAGTAAAGGGAATGTCCTCCCACTAATATACCCATATTACAAAGAAGAAACTCAAAATAAATTTTCAATTTTTTGCTATACAGGTAGATTCAAAATGGGAATGAGAATAACCCCTCTGAAGACTCCCAAAGAGCACTCCGTAACTAGATTTTCAGGTTGATATTCCTTTCAACTTAGTATGTGGATATTCTTGAAAAATTTGACTGGCCAAAGTTACAATTTAAGATGACAGTCAGATAACTTGAAATAGCCCAAATTAAAATTATGTGCTTAGGTTTTTGCTGGCAACATGGACATTAATGCAACAAAAATAAAAAACAGCAGAATTTATCTATGAAAGGTCACCTGTGGGATAATGTTTGTGCTGACTTCTATTAATGATAAAATTTTTTCTTTTTTTAAAGATTTTAGTTACTTATTTTTAGAGAGGGGGAAAGGGAAGGAGAGAGGAAGAAAAACATCAGTGTGTGGTTGCTTGTTGCATGCCCCCTACTGGGGACCTGGCCTGCAACCCAGGCATGTGCCCTGATTGGGAATCGAACAGGTGACCCTTTGGTTTGCAGACCTGCACTCAGTTCACTGAGCTACACCAGCCACAGCAAAGGTAAAATTTCTTAATTTATTATTTTCTATTCCTTTTTATCTATATTCTGTCAATGGTCTCCACATCATATATATCCAGACAAGAGAGGAAAAAGAGGAGAGATGTTTATCTGCTGGGGACTTACCAGGGAAGAAGAGGTTAGGAAAACAACTTCTGAGGAACCAAGTCAGTGCTTTAGACTAGTTCTAACTATCTATCAACCCACTCCTCTTTTTGTGGGGGACTTAGATGATGCTTCTTTCCTCTCTTATGCACTTTTATGTTTTATTCTGAATTCTATGTCTACTAAAACTGAAGACTAAGCCAGAGGTAATAAGTAACTTCCCCCAAATTAAAGTCAAAATTCTCCTTTATTTCTCTTAACATTTTTTTCCTCTGTTGCAAGTAACTTATGTTTTTATTATTAAGGACAAATCAGAAATGAGAGACAGAAAGAGAAAGAGCAAGATCATTGTTCTTAGATCAAATGAATATAGAAAACTCAGAATATTTTCCAAGCAGTATTTTAAAGCTGTCAAGTATAATAAGGATGCAATAAGTGTTAACTATTCCCATAAGAGTTTGAGTAATTTCAGCTGCCATTTGTGGTAGAGACATGGTTGGACAAGACAAATGTTTTTTAGTAAAATATTTTCAAACACTCTGTTTTCAAATTTAAAACAATATTATAATGCAAATCACTTATCCCTGATACTGAAAAGATCTCACTTTATTTTAGTGAATTCTTAATAGTTGTGCTATGTTCTGTATTGAAGGTATTCTATTCAGTGAGTTTTAAGATTATTAGGGGCAAAAATGATGTCATCTATTTCATGTTCTGGTCATGTAGTTAGCTCTCTGTGAATAACTGTTCGCTGATTGAATCCATAATAAAATAAAATAGGAACAGCAGAAAATAAAATAAAATACATAGATGTACTTCCTGACCCATTGCCAAAATCATGTCAGTTATCAGCCTTCTATTTGAGCTTTGCAATGAGCTGGTACTGTATTCCACTATACCCACGTTCCAATGGCAAGAAAGCACCAGCAGCAGTATTAATGGCAGGAAGTATGGTTTATAGAGTGCATTACATATAACAAGAACTTTAAATCAAGCTCTGTAATCTTCACATTAACCTGAAAAGCAGAAATTATTTTATTTTTTTATTGCTAAGAAAACACATATAATTAACCAACTTGCAAAGTCATAGAGCTAAAAAAAGCAGTACTGTGTGGTATTTAAGCACATGAATTATAGCATCATGCAGTCATTTATTCAAGATCCAGTTCCTCTAATCTGCTCCACAAGTTGCTTCACCTTCATAAGATTTTGTTTCATTGATTACAAAATACAGTGGTACCTCCTTAGAATTCATCATTAATTCATTCTGATGAGTGGAGAGTGAGCGATGATCAATGAGTCATTTTCTCTTCCAGGGTGGCATCATGGCTCATAAAGTTCCAGCAGGTGCAACAACTGTAGAGCACACACCAAGTGCCAAAATTTCTTTTTGTCAAAATGTGATGAGTGCTGTGTTTGATGAGTTCTGAAGCTGACAAGTACCCGGGTGCCACTGTATAGTTATAGGTGTATCTTCCTTATTTTTGTGAAGACTGAAACACTTAATGGAAAGAACTTAACAAAGTGTTCAGGATATGTGTTCACACATGCACACAGGTTAACACCAAGGCCTATGTTTCCAATCAGGCTGGTTCTCCAAAACTCGTGCTTCCCATTAGATACTATACTCTCTCTTCACTTCTATGCTTTAGCTAATTTATCTACACTTTATCATCCAACTAATATTTATTTTCTTGGACCATAGTATAAGCAGAGATTATTATGTTCTTATTCATCCCTAGAGTCTAAGGATATCTTCTTCAAAAGTCATCCATGCATTCTAAAACTAAACTACATCCCCATAGAATTTGGGATATTATTCTCTCATATTACTTGCTGTGAATTATATATGTACCTACCTGTCTGTATCCAATTACCTGACTGTGAAATCTCAAAGACAAGAACCAAGTCCTTTCATTCAATACCCTCAACACCAAATATAGGGCCTGAGCCACAGAAAACACTCAACCAACATTGGAAATGTAACTGGAGCAAGACAAAGTGCGTGGAGGAAATGGCGAAGCTACCAATGCTAACCTTTGTGTAAGTATTCCAAATCAGAGTGAGCAGAGTTCCCTCCCTTGAGGCCGAGTATAAACTTAAAAGCCAAATGTAAGGCAATGGCATAAGTATAAAGAATTTAGAATCTTTCCTTCTTTCTTTCCCAAGTTTTTGGGAGCCTAAGATAGTCTCAGGTCGGTGACACTAGAGCCCTGCTAACGCTAAGTAATAAGTCAGAGCTCCACCCTGGCTGGTGTGACTCAGGGCATGGAGTGCTGGTCTGTGAACCAAAAGGTCATTGGTTCGATCCCAGTCAGGACACAGGCCTGGGTTGTGGGCCAGGTCCTCAGTAGGGGGCATGTGAGAGGCAACCACACATTAATGTTTCTTTCCCTCTCTCTTCCTCCTTCCATTTTCCTCTCTAAAAATAAATAAATAAATAAAATCTTTTTTAAAAAAAAAGGCAGAGCTCCTCAGAAAATAGTGTTCTAGATCAGTACTGCTCACACTTTATGGGCAATATTTATCATGGGTGATGTTGAAATGCAGATTCTGATTCAGTTGTCCTGGGAATGTATAGCTTTTATAAAGTTTTATTCTGTCTAAGAAGGAATTTCACAAAAGCTGTAGGCAGTATTCAAAAACAAACAAAAACCAGAAAATAACACCGAGGCATTTTATGATAGTGTTTCTCAACTTTGGCTTTACATTAGAAATACCTGGGAAGCTTCTTAAAAACACAATACCAGATGAACTGTCATCTCTCCCCTCTCCCCCCAGGAATTAATCAGATTGGGGAAACTTCTTCAGCGTGATTTTAAGGCGAAGCCTGTGGGGGGCCCTGTTATACACATCTACAAGCGCCGCTCAGTCTGGTGCAAGTTCCGTGCAAGTTCAGTGCAATCAGCAAACAGCTATGGTCCGTGATGAGATAGGTACAGAAACTGAGAATGAGTTTTCAGAAACTTGTATACCAGTCTGACAAGTTGCATTTATATCTATTAAATCAAATAATAAAAATAGATGGACTAGTTTAAAATAAAGACTGACTTACAAAGAAACATTTTGATAGTCCCTCAAGGAAGGTATCATTACACAACTGCCTATGGTTTTGAGGTTATGTTAGGCACCTCTTTCAGCTGCTACCTCTTAAAGCTGAAACGTTAAGGTTAAGGCCGGTGATTGATTGCTCAGGCAGATCATTGAGAGACCTGGGTACAACAGGGTTAACAAGCAGGAATGGGGTAGGTGGGGTTACAAACCAGGAACACATGCCCTCCAAGCGAGATAGCTTTCATTCCCTTTAATTGCCCTGAAAACATACACACTCTCACATAACACAGAAGGTGAGAGCTGAATGAAGTTTTCTGGGTAATGGCTTGAAATGTTTTCCTTATGAGAAGTGGTGTTGAGTTACAGCGTGCAGGCTGAAAACGGGGAGGAGAGAAGCAGCAGCTCCAGCCCGGCCCCCACCTTTTCTTGGGCTTGTAGGAAGGTGGACATGGGCTCCCAGAGACAAAACGAGTGATATGTTGAACTATCTGGCAGCTAGAATTGACTGTTCCCAGAGTGACCTAAGGACAGTGTTTCTCAGGGTTGAGCCAGGGGCCAGCCTAGCAGGCACAGATGCTCTGCTGTGAAATGCCACGCTGGCAGAGACTGACAAGCAGTAGGAGCTGAGCTTTCCCCTTGGACTGCTGCTTCCTGCTGTGTTCAGGGGAGGGGGGCACTTTCTGGCAATTCTGCTGCTGTTGCTGTTGGTGTTGCTGCTGCTGCTGCTGCTGCTACTACTTCAGCTCCCTCTCCACTCAAGGTAAGCAGGCTCAAAGGGAGGGTAGGCTGCAAGGGACACTTGTGTACCATGAACAAGATCCGAAAGTTTTTCCGAGGAAGTGGGCGAGTCCTGGCATTTATATTTGTAGCTTCTGTCATCTGGCTGCTCTTTGACATGGCAGCTCTCCGCCTCTCATTCAGTGAGATCAACACTGGGGTCCTGAAGGAAGACATCATCAAAAAGGAGAGGGTAGGGTTCAGGGTTCAGCCAGACCAAATGAAGATCCTTTACAGCAGCATAAAAGAGATGAAGCGGCCACTAAGGGGACATGGGAAGGGCATATGGGGCAAAGAGAACTTTAGAAAAACTGAAGAGCATGTGCTCAAAATTGAAGATGATTTGGACCAACTCCAGAAGGAAAGAAAAATGCAGAATGCTGCAGGAAGTGTCAAGATTGCACCTCTGTGGCCTCCTGAACATCTGCAGACCCTCCTTATGACTTTTTCCAAGCTGATGACAGAGGAACGTGACATCAAACCTGAAGCCTACTCTCGTTCTGTGACACCAAAGCAAACAACAGTTCAGGGAGCTCGGGAAGCCACAGTCATAGCAGTAAGAGGAACGTCATTGCCCCAAATATCTGTATACACAGGACCCACTGGCATAAACCAGGAGGTCCAGAAGAGACATGGTCACAGCAATAACACATCCAAACAAGCAGCTGAAAGGAACCTGAATGTGACCATCAGGCTTAATAGTGACAGATCAAAGCAGCAATCACAGGCAGTAGCAGATGAAGGGATATACACTGCTGGCCGACCAGTGCCAAAATCTAGGGAAGCCATAGCCTTAAATAAAACTGAGACTCAGAGCAAAGAACTAAATGCATATAATCACAAAGCCAATAACCGTCCCTTTTCCAAGTTCATTGCCAATTCAAATCACTTAAAGAAGCAATCTATTAATGAGACACTGTTGGGAGGCTTGCCAAAGAATGATGGAGCCAAAGTGGCTGGTGAGAAGAAACTCAATTTCTCTGAAAGCCATGTTGTGATTATAACCAAGGAGGGGGAGCTAAAGACAGACACCAAACAGGCCCCCAACCCTAAAACCAAAACCGTATTTCCTTTAGTATTGGATAGAAGCCAAGGGAAACACAGTTCCAGGAATAGAACTGAGGCATCTTTCTCTGCACTTGCTCTACATAGAGCAACAGCATCTCAAACCAATCAAGTCTTCACTGGGGGACCAAAGCCAGCAAGAATCAGTTTAACTGCCAAGGTCCAGCATAAAGAACTCAACCAAAGGCATGAAAAAGCCATTCTACCTGAAGACCATGAAATGCACCAGGTATTAAGCATTGATGTGACACTTTCTCCAAGGGACCCTGAAGCTCCAGGTCAGTTTGGACGTCCTATAGTTGTTCCCCCTGGAAAGGAGAAGGAGGCAGAAAGAAGATGGAAAGAAGGAAACTTCAATGTCTACCTCAGCGATTTGATCCCAGTGGACAGAGCCATCGAAGACACAAGACCTGTTGGGTAAGACCCATTTCTCTTCTTCTTCCATACCATGTATTGATGTAGAGAAGGTTTATTCCTAGATAACTTTGTATGATTTCTTGTCACCTTGAGAACTAAAGCAATATTAATTATTAGACACAGTGCACATAGTCTACCACCCACAAAAAGAAAAATTCCAACATCTGCATATCACTGTGTTCCCTTTCTGCTCTTGTTCCTCTGAGTCTTTGGCCCTCACTCCTGTTACCTTATGTTACATTTCATTTCCCCTATTAAAAACAAAATGATTAGATTAACTAGCTTCCTAATAAGCTATATATAAATGATAGAACTTAAAATGTAATTCCATTTAAAAAGTGACAGTGAAGTGAATTCCTAATTTCAAAACTTTGCAGTGTCAGCAAGTTTGACATGAACATATTTGAGAATAGAGTGCAGAGAAGGATCCTTCTAGACCCCCCTAAAATTGTATATTAACCAGCAAAATTCTGCCTAATCATGAATAATGATCACCATAATAGCAAGCGAAGAAGTGACTTTTCTCCCTGAAATGTAATATGTTTTGGAATTCAGGAGTTCAGTTATACAAGAATAATAATGTTAGAAAAAGTCAATCAACCAATAACTAGCAGAAACCTATACAAGAGTATAGTAATGCCTGCTCATATTTATAGAACGGCACCACTTACAATGAGCCTGCATACACATCAAATGAACCTCATAAGTGCCCTAGAAAAGAGGATGCAGATATTATGGGTTCAAATCAAATTAACAGATGAGGTGCCCAGAAGTTGTATCACTCTCCCAAAGTAGCAGAGCTCTAAAGCTACCCAATGAGCCTCCATGAACCAGGGCTTCAGAGAGTTAAATTCCCATAACTGCATCACCAGAAGGTGTATCAAGTCACAACTACATGCTCCGGGTCCTACCTCTTTTTAACCCTCTCATAAGTTAGGGTACTTTGTAGCCATGTTGTCACTGCCCAGTAATATCAAAGCTCCACGTCTGCCTTGATATTCGTGTCCCTGAGCCAAACAGTGTTTGCTTGGAACTTGGAATTAGGGAACATCAAGATTCAAACTTAGCACATGTGGTATGTAAACAAGGGCTTAGTTTGGCCTCTAGAAAATTCCTTTTTGTGATCCAGGTAGTCGGTGTTACAAGGAGAAAGGCAGATGTAAATGAGCCTGTATTCATATTAGGAAGAGGAGCCCCTGATATCAGCTATAAGGAGTCCATTTTCCACTCTCTTAGCCTTTGGCAAATGACTGTCCGATGTGTACTGATTGCTTGCTAGACCAGCCACTGTGCCATTCATGTTCCTCCCTCTGATGAAACTCACCAACCTAGCAGAGCACACAAATACACCCAAAATAAAGATAAATGGACTGAGGGCCTAGGAAATGGAATTGTCTGTGGTCATAGAGTCAGTAATTGTAAAGAAATGATTTCAATCTGTGCTCAAAATTATGCCATGTGCTTATCTCTCATCTCCTGCTGATTACACCCTTCCCCTCAGATAATCCAAAAATTATATTGGACCAGCTCTGATCTGAAATTCTGTATATTACATATTACATGTCACATATATTTTAGATGATTTATATATGTGCCAGCTTTGAGGTAGTGCTTAAAGTAGCTCCATTTCAACATCCCTCTGGCATCTCGGCAGATCGCTATGGCTCCTGGGGAAGAATCAGACACTGCACAGAAGCATGGCTGCAGTTCCAAACCAGAGAAAGGGCAATTGTGTGGGGGCCAAAAGCAAGTAATAATGATGTTCTTATGCATGAGATTTATTGAAAGCTTTCTAACACCCAGCACTTGTTAGTTCCTAATATTTGGTGCATGGAGGTTAAGGGTTGCAGCTCAGGAAAGTTGCTTTTACAGTCACGCTGTGTCTCATGAAGGAGGCTGTCCAGACTGTGGGAGACACTGACACGTGTGCTGGAGAGGATGAGTCAGCCGGCATGTGGCCGGGTCGCCTCCCTCTTATCACACAACCCACCTTCGCTAAACATAGCTGCTCCCGGCATGCTGCCTGCCTGATGCTGCACTCCAGCGACTGGGTGGAGGCGGCAGTTCAGCCCCAGGGATTTGACGTATGGAGCCCCTGAAGTATTTGCAGCCCCGTTCTGCCATTCTTCCTTGAAAGAGGACAAATGGTTTTTTGTTCTTTTATTCAAACACATTGACTACAAATATGTGCAAAATATCTATGCACATGGATAGAGGTTGGAAGGAAATAGGAAGGAAAAAATATTTGATTCATCGGGTTGGCAGGAACTGGAGTGAAGTTTTCTTACTTTGATTTGATTTATTTTCAGCCTTGTTCACAAAGTATTTGAGATGGCACATTAAGATTTTTAAGATAATAAAATTTAAAAGTAAATACAAGAGCAAAGTGTAATAGAATATAATAAGAAAGTGTGTGTGTGAGAGAGAGAGAGAAACACAGGGGGCTCCCCTTAAAATTAGCCACAGCAGCAGCCCACTGAAACCTTTATATCTTAAGAGTTCTAGGGAAACATCTCCCTTGTATCTGCCCTTTACATTTTCCCCAAAGCCACCATTACAAATTGATTAACACAGTTACTGCTCTACCATAACTACCAATTGAATATCAATTAACCAAAAAAAGATAAAAACCATAGGCTTATTTAAGTTCAGTCCCTTTCAGTAATGATAGCCATAACCAGTTACTAGTTGATACCTTCTTACCTGAGGGTGATGTAACAGATGCGCTAGGTAGGAGCTTGGCATTAAGAAGGAGAAGAGGCACACAGGACAACCTCACCTACTCCAGTTCTGAAATCAGACTCTTTTCCAAGCCTGCTTTTTCCTTCCTTTCTCCTGAATCCAAAAACCCACCTCTAAGAGGTTAAGATGCAATCATGGCCTTTTCCAAAAGCACAAGTACTCCTTTCTCTTACCAGCATTTTTCTCACTGTCTTTTTCTGTGTTGCCTATATGTCTGCCCCTTGCAATGTAGCTGTAGCTTTCTGAGTGTGACATTCTCTCCTATGTGGGCCCTCAGCAGGAGAAAAGTTAGTCTGAATACCCTTTTGTGCATTTTATGCTCATTACCATCCATTGATGTTTTTATTAACTAGTCCCTTCCCACAGCCACCTACCATCCTCAACTCACATGGTCCTCACTATTCTTTCTGCTCTGACACTGCTCAAAATCCAACTGCAGCTTATCTGCACCTGGGCCATGGCTTGGCTGGGACCTCTGCATCCCCGTGACCCTCACTGCTCTCGTGGTCACTGAGACGCTCCTTGTATGCTCTCCACCAACTCGGGCCTTCAGAGTCTATTTTGCCTTCTTAGTGAAATTATAACCTTCTGAGGGAAAACTCTTTTACTTTATTTTGTACTCATTAGCTCTGATCACAGTGCTGTGTACTCAAAAGATACAAATGTCTTTTACCAAATATCATTTTAAAAGATATTTCTCTAAGATTATTTTCAAAAGTTGGTACTTTTTTTAAACAAGTAGATAAGTCCTACTGATTGATGTGGGGAATTATTTTTTCCCAGGCCAGGCCTAAGGAAATAAAGTAAATGAGAGGTTACTATTCAAATAAAACTTGCAATGAGTCCTTTTATACATTAATAATGACATGCTAATTTTTCATCTTGAATGTATGGAATATGTGAGTATCAGGTTAAAGGTAAACACCTTCTACTTTAACATTATGATACACTCATTAATTCATGTTCATTCTTTAGTGCATCTATTCATTATTGTTTTGGTTTTTAATTATAATGTTTTTACTGTCAGGGGAGGAAAACCTCTTGACTTTCCTTATAAGAATGCTTTATGCCAATAAGTAAAATACAATTTCACTTTTGCCTTTTTGACAGTCATTTTGAAGTTCCATATTGAATCACTTCTTCATAGAAAGCTAATCCTTATAGTTCTTGCTGTTAATTATGAAAGTCTGCCTCAGTCAGTGATGACTGGTACACCATACAAGTGCTGTTAAAGCATGGTCCTGTCTCCAGAAAATGCAGGGCGATTCCACTTAAAGTCTCTCTTTTAGCTGACAGCTATAGTTGAGATGAAACTACAAAAAAAATGAACTCACTTTACAAGTGCACTTCCTGGATCTGTATTTAGAGAGAAGTGACTCAAAAAGTTTTTGCTGCCAGCGTTTAGTTTTTGAAGTACGCTAAGAATTACAGCACGCTCCTCCGCCGCCGCTGTGTCGTGACTTCACTCGATCACTTCATTCAGTGCTTGCTTTTCCTACAGAGCCCTGGCAAACTTCTCTGTAAAAGTATCCAAATTGGTCTTTGTTATCTTAGCCCAGAGCCGGGACTGTCAACCAATAATTTGATTCCTTCCTACACAGCTAAAGAGACTTTTCTTTTGGCACATGTGAAAAGTAAAAGATAGCACCATGCATTTGCCACAAACCGGTCTAAATTACTGAGGGGAAAGAAAACCCTTTTTGGAAACTGGCTTTCCGTCCCCCCCCCATTCCCTTTCCAACCCTCATGAGGTCAAAAGCCATAACTAATGAATTACTGGAGGAGGAAGAGAAGGAGCACTGGGAGAGAGAAAATAAACTTATCACACATATTCTTCTAAACCTTAGGCCCTTACACATTTATCAGGCTTGGAGGAAAAAGAAACTTTAATGTTAAGTGAAGTTCAGATTCCTTAATTTTTATGTGGAATGAGTATTTTCATTGATGACACAAAACTGCTTTTGTGACTAGTAATGATTGGAGAACATTATTTATAATAAAATTAATTGGAAAAGCTATGAGACCTACCCAAAAAACCAAACAGGGTTGGGTAAGGAATCTCACAAGACACATTTAAATGGTTCTGTCTGGCTTTCACCCTTATGGATCAACACAGTGCAGTGGTGCCTTTGAGGTTTGTATGTTCGTGTGTGTATGTGTGTGTGCGTGTGTACCTGGACACATTTGCATGCTTGCATGCATTACAGCACAGTGCACTATTTCACTAAAAAGTCATGTAGGGATTAGGAAATAAAAAG